GGGGCTACTTTTTCGTTTTCATTCTTGAAATATTTCTCAAGTAAGATTCTAAAATCGCTGTTTAAATAAAGCTTAGAAGTAGATAAGCCTTTATTTATAATGATTTAGGGTTTGTCTTGGAACCATAAATCCAATAATGGTAGTGTGTCCGAGTGGTTTAAACCATTTTTGGAAAATCGAGAAAAGGCAGTTATTGCATTAAAGACGAGCCGTTTTCCTTACTTATAAGAAGGGAAAGAGCAACCGTCGCATTAACTACAAAAGTTTCTAAGGCCCAAGCCCAATAAATTTATCGAGTTGACTAAACCCGAAGTGGGGAACTCGCTTTAAGCCGAGCTCAGTTCTCGCATTCTTAAGAGAAAGGTCTGATCAGTCTAAAAATCTCAAAAGCATAACCACAAGGCCACAAAAGGTTAAAAGCGGACTTTGCAAACCTGCATATAATTTTAACCAAACCCCCTTGGGTCATAACCTAGAAAGGTTTAAAAGCCTCCTCAGGCAAATATCTTGTTCAAAAGAAATGATAAAGCCTCCTTAGGCCAAAAATAAGTTCGAAATTAAGTTTAAACTAAATGGGACAATCCCCAGTTTAAAGTGGACACAGCCACTACGGATCGACCTCCATCTCGGACTCCGGCTCAGCTGTCAAAGTTTCACTCGTTTCCTTAATTGGCGCTTGATCAGATGAAGCTCCCGGACCACCCTCCGCGGTACAACCATCCTTCGGAGTGACCTCCGGCACCGCAGGAACTTCGGGTGGGACAACGTCTTTCGTCTCACTTGAGCCTAGAAAAAATAATTCCAGTCAATCAAAGGTACAAGGTAAGAAAAGGTAATGAGTATCAAGAGCCAAAAGTTACCCGCCCAGTCTAGACCCGATTCACTTATAGGAGGAGAATCTGTGAAGAATTCCTCAAAGTCCTGCGGGTTGAAAGTCGAAGCGGGAAAAGCTGCCAAACGACTCCGCTTTTCAGAGAGATTGGTTGACAGTTCGGCCCTCTCCTGCACCTCGGAGAAATCTGCATCATGGATTTGATCCAACAGAATCAAATTGCTCTCGTGCTCCTTGACGTCTGATTCCAGATCTGACCTAGCCTTCTCGGTTTGAATGAAGCGGATGGCCTCCTGGATCAACTCCATCCCACGTCCCTTAACATCTTTTCTGGCTTTCGATGCCGACCTTGCCAACTCGGAATCACGCAACTTGGCTAGCGCCTTGTACTTCGCGTCAAGCTCGATAAGTTGGTTGTTCAGGGTATCGGCGGTTGATTCGGATTCATGAAGTCTACCCTGAACACCAGAAAGTTCATCCTGGAGTTTGTAATTCCGGTCGTACTGGTCTTGCAGCTCCCCCTTTATCTGCGCAAGCTCGGATGTTAAACTGTCGACCTTGTCCTCCAGATCGTGCTTGGAGCCGGCAGAAGAACTGAGTTCAGCCTCAAGAGCAGAGAATTTCTTCTTCCACATGTCAATCTCCTTCTCCCGTCCAATG